AATAATATAATTGTGCTTGAGATATCCTATGGAAACCATGAAGTATGTTTAATATGATTGATGTATTAATTTATACGTTTAAGCATGTTCGCAAAATGATACATGTTGTATACTATGGCTTATTATGCTTAAATTGCCTTGTTGGCTTGATGCGAAATTAAAGCCATTTCGGCTAACTTGATAAGATAGAATGTCATTTATGGTCATGGGAATGTTTTAGATGCGCCTTATCAATTTTGTTGATGTATACAATTGCGCTTGCGTGGCTATATAGATGCTTATCACCGCTTATAGGACTATATGGATTTGTTCTAATGCTTACGAGGTCATATGATATTATACTATACATTCGTTTTTTGTCCGGGTCTAAAAAAATACTATTTATTATTTATTTATTGTTATTATTATTATTATTAAAATATTATTACATTTTGATGCATGCCATATACAACCCAACTACAATTACAGAAGCCCAATCCAGCAGCCCACTCGGATGATCCAGATACCTACCCATACCCACTGGAACCCAACTGGGATCCGACCCAACAGTAAACCCGAGACTCGACCCGAAGAGACCCAAATCGGTCCAGTATAATTAGGGTTTTGAAACCCTAAATGCCATCAACTAAAGCTAGCCGCCTTCGCCTCCAATGACACTTCAGCTTCCCAGCCGAGTCTTACCCCCGACAGCCTCTGATGCCAGTCGCCTGCACCTATAGTGAACCATATCAACATTAACAATAGAAGTGGCAGGGAAATCAAAAAAAGTAATAATAAATCACAACAAAATCCCGATTCGGGATTTTGGCAGGGACCCTATCTATCTATCACAAGTCTCAAATCTATAACTAAAAATCATCACAAAATATCAGCATAAAACCAATCGGTGAGAAGACAGAACTATTCTGGGATTCGGTGGGGAGAAAAATTGAGGAAAAAAAAGTAAAAATGAAAAAAAAGAGGAAGCCAAAGAGAAACTCTGAACCAAACACCGAAAATAGAGAAATAGAGAGGGAGAGGGTTCTTATCGCCGTTCGACACATCGGGAAGCCCGGGAGTCACCGTTCCTCTAATATTTCGAAAGGTATAATCGTGGATCTATGGCTATTGGGCTAGTTTTAGGTTAAGCTGGTGTGGGATCTAGATAAAGGGCGAGGAGATGAGTGTTTGAGAGTTTTTTTTCATTCTTCGACTGTCGTGCGCTGCCGTGAGCTCCCCCGGCAGAGGCCATCTCTTTCTTCCCCGACGAGGGGAAGTTGAGAGAGTTCTCAACTCTCTCTCTCTTATTTTCAGGAAAATGGGAGCAAATGGAGGGGTGGCCAATTTTTTAGCCTTAGATTATATATATATATTAAGTGTAATACGACGTAGTTTTGCTTCCTATTATTTCTGTGTTTTTGAAAATTTTTGGGGAAAATACCTTGTTTAGTCCTTCTGTTTTGTAACCTCACCCATTGGTTTTTTTAATTTCTATGGAAAATTGCAGTTTAGGTCCCCCTATATTTGTAATGTCATATTATTAGCCATTAAATGAAGTTATAGTTATTTTATTTCGAGCTTTAATGTTTCAGTACTTTTATTTTAGTCATGTTTTACTTATTTTGTTATTTCTATTAATGTTTGACTTTGGCTATGGTATTTGTAATAGTTTTATTTTAGTCACTGATTTTGTGTTTTGTGTATTTTTGTGAATATTCGAATTCGGCCATGATATTTATGTACATTTTATTTAAATCACTGCCTTGCATATGTTTTAATTATTGTTTAGTCCTCTATGTTTTTGGTTATTTTATTTGAGTCATTAATATTGTTTAGGGGTTATTTTCATTTCTAGTACCTGTATTATTTAGTATTTTTTTTATTTTGGGAACTTGGTTTATTTTATTTGTGGTTTAGTCCCTTAAGTTTCTATTTTTTCTATTTAAGTCCTTTAACTTTCCGTTATTGTTATTTTAGTCCTTTAACTTTCTGTTTTAGCTATTTTAATCCTTCAATTTTTTTTTGCTATTTAAGTCCTTAAACTTTTTGTTGTGCTATTTTGGGCCTTTAACTTTCTGTTTTTTTTTCAATTTAGTCCTGAATAGATACTTTTATTAGTATTTTAGTTTATCATGTTTGTAAATGTATATTTTGATACAATTTGTACTTTTTTTTATCGATAATTATAATTTCATATATGTTTGTATATAAACCATGTAATCGTTGAAAGCGTTCTTTGTAGGAAATTTTATTTCCACTTTGTTTATAAATCATCATGGTTTTAATATACAAAAATAAAAAGAAATTTCAATGTGAGGGAAATCTACGAAGATATCTCCCAACTAAAGGGAAAGTATCTTTTCGAGGATTTTTCGCATAAATATTTGTTTTATATTCAATAATTTTCTTTGTTCCACATTTATTTATTTTGAGTATTTTTCACCGCTTTTCACTTTTATTTTATTTTGTTTTATTTTATTTTATCTTTGCGAAAATTGCGAAATAATGTCTTTTGTGAGGGGAATCTAAGGGAAAGTCTCCTAACTGCAAAGGAAGTGCATTCCCGAAGATTGTTCACACAAAAGGGTATTTGTAATCCGAAAATTGACACTTTTTGAATAAAGTCAAATGAATAAGAAGTATCGTAATTTAAATACATTTTCAAGTTTGTAGTTCCCAATCTTTAAACAACATATAATCATTTAGGTACAAAATTTGGGCGTTGTGAGGGTGCTAACCCTTCCCCACACGTAACCGACTCCCGAACTCTTAAAAACGAATCTTTGGTGAAACACATACCATTTTTTGACGATTAAGGTTTCCAACGTACCTAACTTAATGGTTGATGGTGACTCCAAAATCAAATTGTTTCAAAAAGTGTATTTCATCACCTTCCCCGAGAACCAATTTTTTAGTTAAACAGATCCCCGAGGAAACGTTAAGACAACTATTATGATTGAAAATCTGAGATGTCAAACCATAGTATATGTATGTAAAGAATTGCTACGTGATAGAAATGAACATGCTAAATGGCAACGGTCTTTAGAGTATATTGGTAAAAGTTTTCTTAGTCGACATTTTCTCTCTTTATTTAGGTTGTTTTAGAGTATATTGGTAAAAGTTTTCTTAGTCGACATTTTCTCTCTTTATTTAGGTTGTGTGTTCAATACCTATTATGAGTAAAATTCTCCATCTCCTCCACTACATTGTAATTATTAATAAAAAAATAAAATGCCTAGTAAAGAGAGAATGATAATAATATTTGACCTTATAAAGTAGGTATAGTTGACTAATCATAGAGTTTTGTGCACTATATTATTCCCGTGTTACGGCATCATGTTGTTTTTATGCTTTGGTATCATATTGCTCTTACATCCTTGGATTTTTTATATTGTTCATTCACGTACATTTTAATATCTATGATGTTTACGAAGATCCATACGATTGTTTAAAAAGAGCATATAATAAACTTCAATAAAATTTTACGAGTTTTTATTATTGAAGGGGTGTCATAATTTCATAATATTAACTAAAATATAATAGAGATTTTGGGTAACATCAAGTCTATAATTAGTATTAGATTTTTTGAAAAGGTTTACGTATACACTTGAATACGAGTGAGATATTTGTAATGATTTTACCGGTGATGTACTCTATTTTTATGTAACAACTTTTGTTGCTCTTTTTGGATAGTAAATAAACAACTAAACCAAAAAACTGTATCTATCCGTCTATCTAATAAGAGTGTATCAAGGGGTCAACATGAATCAAACGAACTTTGTAGTTAAAAAGATGATTGTTATTTTTAAAGTTCTCGAGTTTGAGCACGACAAATGATTTTAGCATTAATTGACAAATGATTGAGTGTTTTTTAAACATATATTGTCTTGTATTCATCCTATAATAATAATAACTAAGGGGTCAAGATCATTTCACATCATGTTGAAACTTGGACCTCATATTGGTGCCCATTTCACAACTATGGTACAAGGACAACACTGCATAATCAGGTTTTTTTAGTAAGGTGCTTGGGGTTTTCTCTTTCCATGAGCAACCGACATTTGGTCTCTAAATTTGGTAACTTCTTCTAATTTAGTTCCTGATGCTTTTTCATGTTTATTTCTGAATTTAATAACTTTTCACAACTTGGTCCCAAAATTTTATTTTCACATTAATCTCAGAGTTGACAACTTTTCTTAACTTGGTCCATGAATATAGATTCTATTAAAATGTGTGATAAGTCTAGGGATGGCAACTCAACCCGAATCCGACGGGTTCCGACCCGACCCGACCCGATCGGGTCGGATTTTTTTAAAAAAAAACGGGTTCGGGTCGGGTCGGGTCGAGTTTTTTTTAAATGTACTGTTCGGGTCGGGTCGGGTTTAGGGTGAAAAAAATCTGACCCGACCCGACCCGAAAAATATATATAATTTTATCCTATATATTTAGGGATAATTACAATAATGTCCCTCCATATATAATTTTTTTCAATTAAGTCACTGTTTTCATTGAATAAATTTTTTTTTATTATTATTTCGGGTCGGGTCGGGTTTCTAAGTCATATATTCGGGTCGGGTGAAACCTTAATTTCGTCGGGTCGGGTCGGGTCACGGGTGAAAAACCCTTTCTTCTCGGGTCGGGTCGGGTAGCCCAAAAACCCGACCCGACCCGACCCATTGCCATCCCTAGATAAGTCTATGTTTTAGGGTCAAATTGAGAAAATTATCAAGTTCTAAAAGGTACAACATTGGAAATTTTTCAAGTTCCAGAGCTATTGTAAACTAAAGGAACCAAGTTGAAAAGAATTACCAATTCAAAAACTCGAATTGCTCAAATTAGGTTCAAGTCAATAATGACCAAATTAAATTGAAGTCCTTTGTGAGTATCTTACTTGCACATATATTTCATTTGCACATCTATGAGTGAAAACAGTAAACAAAAAGCTACAGACAGATCCTTTAATAGTAATACTCCATTAGAATGCAAGTAGACATCGGAAAACATGTGCACAGGACATATAAGCAAGCAAGCTCCAAATTTTACTGTAAAACAGTAATCAAATTATTTAAATGCTAAAAAGAAATATAGCAAATTTATTATCAGAAAGTTGCAGCATTGTTGACAATCTTTTTTTGTATGAATGTCAGGCATTCACCAAGGTCAAGTATTTACATGAAATCAATTACATCAGGCATGAATGATTGGAGACCAAACATTCAATCTCAGCTACTTCCATTGCAATGATGGATGCCATTACTAATCTCAGCTACTTCCATTGCAATGATGAATGCCATTACTACGAGTGTCTTTCCGCTTGGCGCTTAGATTATTCAAGCCCCATACCCAAATCGTGCGATCATCACTAGCCGATGCCAACATGTGAGGGTTTGCTGGATTCCAGCTGACACAATTAACAGCTCCAGAATGACCCGGTAATGCTTCTACAAGCTCTCCTGTGCCCCTATGCCAAATATAGACCTAAACATACAGCAAAAGGCAAATTCAATTTCCCTTGAACTGCAGAAATAAATCACATTCCTTAAAAACTTACATTTACAAGAAAATGTGTATGTATAAATTTAATGTCCTTACCAGTGAGTCCTCACTGCCGCTGGCAATGAAAGCTTGCTCAAGTCCACCAAAACAAGACCTAATGATGAAGCGGGTGCGTTTATGGCCTTTATATTTAGAGACAAGCTTCAGATCACCTTCTATGTCCCATAGATGAATTTCTTGGTTCAAAAGATTTACCAGTAAGAATCTATTGTCTCTTGATAATGAGAACGAAGTTATCGTTTGATCTTCTTCGATAAATCTCTCCACTTTTGCTTCCCTGTCAAGTAATGATATTGCTGTTTCACTATATATACTTACAATCTGCTTTCCATCGCTTGTTATTTCCAAATCAAAGATTTTTAGAGTGCGATGGCCTTTCCAGCATTCTACCTCTTTCCCGTCCAATTCCCACATGCTGATACTCCTATCATTAACACCAGAAAATATCCATTTGCCATCTGGAGACCATCCACATGAAACCATGCCAAGACCAGCTTTTTCATAAACATGGAGGCACTCACCGGAAGAGACGTCCCACCGCCTTACAACCTCCTCTACACCACAAGTGAGAAGCTGGTGGTCATCAGGACCCCATGAAACAGAAGAGATAGGTTTCAGGTGACCAGAGAGTTTATGTTTTAAAGATACTCCATTCGCATCAACCTAAAATAAGTAAAGATATTAGAATGAGATATCGGCTGATTGCTAGGCCTCTGAGAAACGAAAACATGATTGTTTCACAGTATCTAAGAATGTTCACACATTAATACAACCCATGCATGCTTAAAAATTTAGATTTCAGCCAATAGAAAGTCTAAATTTCACCAGCACCCTTGCAAAATTGTAGAAAATTTCGGAAAAGAGAAAAAGTTAAGAGCCTGGTGTTTGAGAATTGAGTACAAAAAACTTGCCAAAACAAGAAAACAAATTAGATGGATTTAAATGATAAAATGATTAAGGATGAAAATTAAAAAGTGACTATTACAGAGATACTGAAGCTAGATGGAGATGTTTCCATAATGGAGTACACAATAAATACAGACCTCGTGTCCATAATGGAGTACAGAAAACAGAGTTGAAAATGTAAATCAATATATTACTAAGCAAAATCAACATATATGTTACATCTATGTTCCAAGTGAATAGCAATACCTCCCAAATGATTGCTGAGCAATCATTTGATGATGAAGCCAAGTATTTCCCATTATGAGAAAATTGCAAGAACCATACTTCATCTGTGTGAGCCTGTAGTATCTGTTGCATGAGAATGAAAAAAAAATCAAAAATAATTTAAGAAAAATGCAAGTCATAAGTTGATAAATTTCAGAGCAGGAATAGACAAATAGAAAATAAATCAAGAATCAGAAAATATTCCACTCAGAAGACACTAAAACAATCCACATGGAAGAATACGTAAACAAATTATCCAATATTTTTTTCTGGAGTCTGGACTAGGCAAGTCTACTAAAAAGTCATAAGCACGACACAGGTAAACAAATTTGGGCGTTGTATAATTGTGGAAACACCAATTTGTGACTGAACACCTCAAAAATCCAACCTAATTGGTAGTAGAATAGTAGAATATTGTTCAATCATTTCTCCATGTAGACACGTGCACTAATAAAAGTTAGAAAGTTGCACATTGTTTGTCCCTTGTACTCAAAGTACAACCACTTTTTTTTTTGATAAAGAAACAAGGCATCGTTAAAAACCCCCTTCGTAACCTCTGCTGTACAAAAATACATCAGCGGACATTGGAAGGAGGAAAAGAGTGCCTCAAATGTTATTCCAAAAATAAATTACACTTCATATGACAGCCGGCTATTACAAACACCCCCCCCCCCCCACATAACCTCTTACCTATCTACAGCCACACAATACTGAACTACTACCCTATACCCGCCTTAGCCAAGCTTTCTGCCTCCCAATTCACAGACCTTTTTACAAACCTTATAATAACACTGTGCTCGAAAACAACACTGACAATTTCCTTAACTAGCTGTGAAAATACAGTAGGACACACTTCTGGATTCTTAATCCAATTTACAGCATTTGCTGAGTTAGTCTCTACAATTAGCCGACCCTTGCCACACCACTCTGAATCCACAAACAAAACTAAACCAGCTTGGATGGCCTTCAATTAAACTAAAATAGGGGACCTGAACCAGCTGAAGCCGAAAATGAGCCCAAGACCTAACTCTCTTCATTTCTTAGTATTCCCCCAATACCGCTGCTTTCCCAATCTAAACCTAAACCTAGATCCATTTAAAGATATTCAACAAGAAATGATATGTAAAGAATAAAAGGATACACCTAAAAAAATACTGAAACTTAGATCCATTTATAATTACCTATCATTGTTTAAACCTAAACCTAACAGACCTTATCTTCTAGTTGCTTAAACAATGAGAAATATATGCATTATCTTCTAGCTTTGCAAAAGAATTCTCAAGAACCATGATTAGGAAACTTCCACACAAGATTCTTCCAACATTGAATGAAAGCATCCTAAAACACATAAGCCATCATCTCCAATGATTAAAGATTGGTCTTTCCATTATGATTTTCAGATCTTAGAAATCCTGCAGCAGATATTTGAGTCTAGGGTAATAGGTATATGGTTAATGAAAACCTCACGGGTGCACCTGATAAAGAAACAGTCTATCCAAAAAGAAGTATTCAAATATTAATGCCAGTGAAAGCATAATCACTAGAATATAAAACCTAATTTATAATAAAATACCTAATATCAATTCTATCATGCCTGAATCAAGATAATATTTTCACTAGCACCTGAATCAAAATACCTTCTTATGTATTGCGAAAAAAATCCATACTGATAAAGCACAAACTAAAATAGACTTCCAATTTCCACATTACTAAGACACGAAATCTTGCAGAAATAAAAAATGTAAAGAAAAATCCTAAGAAGTTTGTCATCTCAAAGAAAGGCATGAAAGAGGAGAGACAGATTGCAAAACTACAAAGATCTGATTACCAGAATAAAATCTAACCTGCAATGCAGAAGAAGGAATTTGATCTCTTGCACACTGATGATCAGCATATAGTGACATTTCCTTATCTGATGAGTTGTGAAACATGCAAGCATCTCTTTGCAAAACAAGGGCCTGTTCAACTAAATGCTCCAACCTTCTTTCGGGAATCATAACAGTTGGAGGAAGCAGCTTCTGTAATTCTTCCAATAACTTACTCCGGGATCTTGGTCTTGAAGTAGCTTGTTTTGGAGACTGAACAGAAAAACAGTGAGAGGGTGATACAAGGAACAAAGAAAGCTCACGAACTCTACTGTGACTGATACAAAGAGGTGATATCTCGGTTCTCAGAGTATTCAGAGCATCCATGACTTTTTCTTCATCCAGAAATTCAAAGAACTTCTGTTCCAATATCAGAAAACAGGCTGATTTTATGGCCATTTCATCTGTTAGCCCAATATTGTGCAATGTGACGACACTTTCATCCAAATCTCCCTCAAGAATTTGCTGCATAAACACATTAACGATAGAAGAATGCAACGCTATCCCTGATTCTTCCTCTAAATGAGCACCACTCTTTATATAACCAAGTGAGTACAATGCTTTTTCTATTATTCGGACAAACTCTACTTTCTTTATAACTCCTTTTGAGCCAACAACTTCTTCGCCCCCTTCAGACTGCAGGGGCCGAGCCATCAAGTCCCTTGAAGACCCAACTATAGGTTCTTTAAGAGTTGAACTGTTTGAAAGATGGCTCAATTCTTCAGAGGATAGTTTCTTGCGTTTTGAGGCTGGTTCATCGTCCCCTACACCTCCCATGAAATGTGCACCTCAGCCCATAAATTATTGAAGTAGTAAGAAAATAGCAATAGGTATAAAAAGGAATGTCTGATGAATCATGAGAAATAAACAACTGTATAAATAATCAAAAATAATTTGTAGGTTTCTAAATTTGAGCATAAGAGAGATCGACTCACAGAAAAATCTCACCATTATCACTGGCAAAAAATAACATGATTAAGTCATAAAAAAACATATGCAATTATAAGAAGGGTACATGTTATTTCCTAAAAGTAATCAGTTCGATTATCTTTAAAAAAAAATGCAAATACAAACCTTTTTTCCCTTATTCTTCATAAAAGAGCTTAGGAAGTAAAGAGAGCAACATATTATCTAAGAAAAAGGGTTAGCTTCAAAAACTCCATAGTATATCTATTCTTAAGAACTTCACATACTCATAAATAGCAGATACGAGTTGTCCATCCAAAAGAATAGGACAAATTGCTTATCACTTTGGAGACATCTCAAACATGAAATTTCAGCCAAAAATTATTATAGGAGCTTAAATTTTAGCTAGATAAGAAATTCTATTTTGACCACGTGTCCAACGTCACAGTTTCAGTTTTCCAGCTGTTCTGTTTTAACATGATGGTTAAAACATCCAAATCAATGTTAAGAAGTACTCCAATAACAGAGCCAATCTATAGAAACATGCTCAATTGCAGATGATCAAATCATTGTTGGTTTATATCCTAAGCAACAACAACAACAACAATACCCTCCCTAGGCTGAGCATAAAGCCATGATTGGAGGAGTTATCAACACCCATTTGAAATATCTTAATGGTTGTAACAAGACATTCAAGTAAAGAAAGCAATGATGTAATTTAAGACAAGGGTCAGTTCTAAAAAGTCCATATGTCCATAGTATAACTGTTCTTAAGAACGCATGCTCATAAATAGCAGATATAGCTATATATCCAAAACAATAGGACACGTACTGTTATCACTGTATCCAAGGTAAATGGATGGCGTCCCAAACTTGACATTTCAGTCAAAGAATCAAATTCAGGGAACTTCCACTTGTAAAGATAAATTATATATCTGACTGAACCTTTAAGGACTAAAATAAATGTTTAGCTTAATATGACTCAATATTCTATAAATAAAACAGGAAAACTAGTAGTCTAGTACATAACTCCTGCTAGGAATAAGAATTTAACCTCAAGGACTTTGTTCCCAATACAGAAAGCAAAGTGAACATTTGGTTAATTTGATATAACTAAAGATCCAATAAATAAAAAAACGTAAAAAAGAAAATATAGGATTTTAAGGTCAATTGGTTTTGCATCCTAAAGGGGCACGAGGGGTCATACAGTTTCTATGGCATCCTAAGATTATTCTTACCATACTATTCTTTTGCAGAATGCTTTCAAAAGGACAATGCTTCCGAATCGGACAAATTATAGAGCAATGACTTGAAACATTTAAAGCGATTCTACTGCTATCAGACATTATATGCTTAACACAATCCGATATTAAACTCAGTGGTATTGATAATTTTCTTGGAATCTTCATGATAAAATGTTTTCAATATTTAAGCTACTACACTATAATATACATAAATATATATATACACACACATATATGTTCTTTAACGAATTGCATTTTGAAGCGCAATCTTAGCTATTTTAGTTCATAAGGTGTTGAATTCACCTCTGAATTATCATTACTTGGACAACCGAAGGATCAGAATTATCATTGCGTTACAAATATGATGACCATTTCAAAAATATACGACGGACAAGCATTTACCAATATCAACATGTAGAAATGAACAAATAAAAGGAGTTTAGTTCCAAAATAGAAGATCGAAAAAGGGGTTTCAAGCAGGATTGATGAAAAATCCACATCTGAAATAAAGTCAATAATGTAGAGTCTTTACAATACCAAGAAGCTAAAACTAGTAGCTTCAGACACAGTAAGAAAAAGACAAAGCTACTGGCAAATGAATCAGATTGCAAGTTAATCAGGGTAAGTCGGCAGTAAAAGGGAAAATAAGGAAAACACAGAAAGGGGTTACGAACCAAGCAGCCGATTCAGATCAAGAAAAATCAGGTGAAAATCCAATTAATAAAAAGAAAGAAAGAAAGGAACTGAATAGAGGTGAAGAAATGCAGAACAAGATAAAAAAAACAAGAAAATATACAAAAAGATTACCCTTTTTTCTTATATCGTCCGCAGAAACTTGATTAAAGCGAGTAACCGAGGAAATGAAGAGGCGAAGAAAAAAGGGGTTTGGAGAGTAAAATCAGATGTGAAAGTGAAAAGGGCTATTCACGAAGGAAAAAGGAAAGTGTTTTGGTAAGTTTGCAAAATGTGTAGAACAAGAAAACAAGAGTTTTTTTTTTTATGAAGACAACTTAATTCCTTTGCGTGGAGGAAACCAACTGAAAAGGGGATTATAGTAAGGGATTGTGAATTGAGGGATTAATTCATCATGAATTTGGATGGAGCGAGGGTTACATTGGCTTCGGTGTGGTTAAAAAAAATGAGGATGGTAAGTAGATTGGTGGCAACCAGCTCAAAATTATATTTCTGACGTAAATTGGAATTTGGTATCGTATGTGTGAATCTTTCGACATTGTTCTCAACTATTACACTGTTAAGGAGTATTATGCAAAGTTAAACTGAATAACTTTAGAAGACATTGTTGTCCCATTATGAACCAAAAAATATTATGACCTGCATACAAAAAATAATTTTAAATATTAAATTTCAATAATAAACAATTATCTTATTATGCTACATGAGACAGATAAAATCAAATAAATTGATATGACAACAACTAACATATAAAATAAGACACATTACCAACAATTAGTTGATTTAGTAATACAAGATATTCGATCTCTTAAATAACGTTAGGAGTTCGAATTTTGTTACTGTGAATATAGATAATTGGGTTAAAAGAATTGTTCTCATAATGAGTCTATATAGTATTCGAACTAAATTAATTAACAATAGACTAAAATCTAATATTTTTTTTTAAAAAAAGACATTAAGCATCAGCGTCCAACACAGTACCACATACGCCATGCATAGATATCACCCTTATCCATAAAATTCGCATTTATCGCTCATTTCTTAAGAGAAATAAAAGGAAGAGAAAATCGTCTCAGTGACAAAAAATATCTTATAATATATGATTTTAACCAACTTTTTTTGGATTTATCAAAATGACCAACAAAATCGCAATGCGAAATAAAAATCGCAACGCGATCTCCAGAATCGCAATACGATTATGAAGAATCGCAATGCGATAGTACAAATTAGCATTGCGATTTTCCAGAATCGCAATCCGAATATGAAAATCGCAACGCGAACATATAAATCGCAACGCGATTCTGACTATCGCAACGAGTATCCGTAAAATCGCAACGTGTATCCGTAAATTGCAACGACAATACGTAAAATCGCAACGAGAATACGTAAATCGCAACGCGTATCTGTAAATCGCAACGAGAATACGTAAATCGCAATGCGTATCCGTAAATCGCAACGACAATACGTAAAATCGCAACGCGTATCCGTAAATCGCAACGCGATTTTTAAAGCGCCATTAGAATCGCTACGCGTATTTTATTTTCAAATTCCAAACACGAATATTAATTATCGGAACACTGAACCGTCCACAGTATATCCCGTAATCGCAACTCATAACCTAAAACCTAAAATCACAACTCAGTCTCATCTCCATCTCTCACTCTCTACGGCGAAATCCGTCCCCATCTTCGAAGATTTCCGTCCCCATTTCCGACGAAATTCCTCACAACCATTCACGGTCAGAAATCTCTCACAATCATTCAGAAATGGAAAATCAACCTCCGAGGGTTAGTTTTTTTAATTATTTTTATTTTGAAATTTTTGCAATATTTTAGGTTTTTCATATTGAAATTGATGATAAGTTTACTGGTAATTTCAATAATAGATTAACCATTTCACTTAGATTTCTTATTAAATTTATTCGATTGCTGCCAATACTGCTAAACTGTTTAGTCTTTAACCCTGTGAAGTTAGTATTTGTCTTTGTTTTGTCTTTTGGTTGAAGTAATGCAATCCATTAAAGTTTCAATTTGCAGAAGAAGAATAGTTTCTAAACTTAAAATCGCAACATGAAAATGAAAATCACAACACGAAAATGACTATCACAACGAGAGAATCGTAACGCGAAATGAAAATCGCAACGAGATAATCGCAACGCGAAACCAAAATCGCATTGCGATTTTCGTTTCGCGTTGCGATTTTAATTTCGCGTTGCGATTCTCTCATTGCGATAGTCATTTCCGCGTTGCGATAGTCATTCTCTCGTTGCGATTTTCATTTCAACCAAAAGATAAAACAGTGTTGCAAATTTTAGTTTCAAGAATAAACTACTACTCTTTATGTTTATTGATTTTGGTATATATTCACAGTGTAGTTTTTGGTATATCTAACTTGGTATGTTTATTGTTTTTGTATAAATTTTTTTCGGCTTCATTGACATTAAGGAATAAAGTTAGCCTAGCCACTACAATTGCTTCGAAGCTTTCACCTGCACAAAGAAAATTGTTTGAGGAAACCTGCTTCGGGCCATGGCTGAGAGTACAGCATCCGGGTGAAGATGCTAATTTGACCCATTTGTGGCTTCAAACCATGACTAGCGATCTACCCGACAGTATACAACGTGGTGAGGAAGAGATATGGTTTCATTTTCCACTGGCGTATACTTGTTTTGGGCGGAAGGAGTTCTGCTTAATCATCGGTCTACGATTCGGCATGATGATGTAGGCCGGTACACTCGTCATATCACCCGTCCATCATGGTTATCCCGGGTTTTTCCTGATGAGTCAATAGAGAAGCCGAACTTACACGTCGACGACCTGAAGAAATTGTTTAATAAGAAAGATGGTTTTACTCGGATGAATGACGTCGATGTTGTCCGAGTATGCCTTTTAGTACTTTTGTATGCCGGCTTTTTAGGCAGAGAGGCCAGACAACCTATTCCTCAGGAGCTAATATTATTGGTAGAGGACCTAAATGCATGGAATCTGTTTCCATGGGGTTCGTATATTTGGAAAGCTACCTGGACTAAGTTGTCGTCTGCCTTTGATGACCGCAAAAGTTTGCGTGGCGATGGGTCGAAAATACACTTTGTTAGGCTTTGTTTGGGCCTTTAAGGTAAGAATTTCTATATAATGTTTTCAAAATTATAATTAATTATTTAACAATTACTAATGTTTGTTATTATATTGTTTGTAGATTTGGATATTCGAGGCTTTCCCCAGCATACGGATATATGCATTAAAAACTTTAAATGATATTCATAGGGTTATTTCCTTGAAGAGGAAACGTCTGTTGGATTGGGAATACTTAATACCATATGCGACAATAAATAATGTAAGTTAACACAAATACTATCATATATAAACAAGTTATAAATAGTAGACGTTTAACTTTGTTTGAGTTTTTATATTTTTAGGAGGCCAACACTCCATTACAGAGATTGACACCCACGGAGGCTGAGCTTGCCACTGATTGGTGGCAAGCTAGTCAGCGTTTTTTTGATGGCACAAATGATGAGCAGTCTCCATTTTCCTCCACTTCGAGAGTCATCACCTCACCTAAAGCCATCACCTGATCGACCCGACTATACACCTCTACAACGAGAGCCATCACCTATCCCGTCACATCATCGAGCCTTTTCTCCACCATCACCTCATGATAGGCGACCGACAAAGATGCCACGACTTCTATCACCCTGTTCTCCACCTCTATCTCCACGGGATGAGTCAAGGGAGTTACGTGATGAGGTCAATGCCTTGCGTGAGGAGATCGGTACTCTACGCGATAACGATGGTGCATGGCGTGTGGAGGTGTCTACTTTACGTGGTGAGGTTGTCGCTCTACGTGAGATGGTAGTATCGTTGCAGAATGAGGTTCATACTCTACGCAACGAGGTAAGTTTAAGATTTTCCATATTTAACTTGATGATAAATTTACTCGTAATTTCACTTAGATTAACCATTTCACTTAGATTGCTTAGTAAATTTATTCGGTTGCTGCCAATACTGCTAAACTGTTTATTCTTTAACACTGTGAAATTAGTATTTGTCTTTTGTTTTGTCTTTTGGTTGAAGTAAATTTATTCGGTTGCTGCCAATTCTGCTAAACTGTGTATTCTTTAACACTGTGAAGTTAGTATTTGTCTTTGTTTTGTCTTTTGGTTGAAAGTAAATTTGTTCAGTTGCTGCCAATTCTGCTAAACTGTGTATTCTTTAACATTGTGAAGTTAGTATTTGTCTTTGTTTTGCCTTTCGGTTGAAAGTAAATTTGTTCGGTTGCTGCCAATTCTACTAAACTGTGTATTCTTTAATACTCTGAAGTTAGTATTTGTCTTTGTTTTGTCTTTTGGTTGAAGTAATGCAATCCATTCAAGTTTCAATTTGCAGAAGAAGAAATAGTTTACTTTCGCAACACGAAACTTAAAATCGCAACGTGAAAAATGACTATCGCAACGCGAAATGAAAATCGCAACGAGAGAATCGCAACGCGAAATGAAAATCGCAATGCGAAACCTAAATCGCAACGTGAAACTATAATCGCGTTGCGATTTTCATTTCGCATTGCGATTCTCTCTTTGCGATTTCCATTTCGCGTTGCGATTCTCTCGTTGCGATAGTCATTTTTCACGTTGCGATTTTAAGTTCCAGAAACTATTCTTCTTCTGCAAATTGAAACTTGAATGAATTGCATTACTTCTACCAATAGACAAAGACAAACACTAACATGACAGTGTTGCAAGTTTGAAACATATTTGTCTTTGTTATCTGATGCATTTTGTGAACTATGATAGAATAATGACTTGGGTGAATACAATGCAAGTTTGAAACATATTTGTCTTTGTTTTCACTGTTTAAATATCATGTCTGTTTATTTACTGATTTTTGTATTTAATTATTTAGCGGCCCGATAAGGTGGATGCTTTACGTCGGGTTTTTCTTGCACGACGGAGTTCACGCATCAGACGGCGTGCACGTGCTATTAAGTCTCAGTACACCCTAATAGTGCGAAGACACCGCAAGAAGAAGCCCGACTCGCTGTCATCCCTCAAGAGTCCACTCCTATCGTTGAAGATGCCCATATCATTCATCGAGAGTCCCCTCCCACCGTTCAAGAGGCCACTGTCATCGTTGAAGAGGTCCCTCCTACCATTCAAGAGCTCGATTCACATGTCGTCATATGTAAGATTCTTGAGAAACCCTCTGACGTGCCGGACATGATGGATGAGAGTTGGCTCTCGTATGAGTTATCGGCCAGTACCATTCCGGTATCTGAAGTGGAGAGGAGACAACTACCAGACACAATTCTGGATAACACCCTTTGGGGTAAGACCGCAGTTGAATTTTTATCTACATGAGCGGAGCCAGGGGTGTTTCACTGACATATGCAAGCTCAACGATGATATCTATTTGTT